TCTTTCCCATGGTGCTCCCTGGGGAAATGTAAACCCTACAGTGTCATAGTCCAAGTACACCTGACTAAAATCAATCAACTAACTCATAGGAAACATATTTAAAATCTTAGCTTGGGTTTAAACCTTTGGGCAAGATAGAGGTTCAGACTTTAGGCAACTTTCACATACTGACCTTCTAGGACCCAAGAAGAGTGTGCTCTTCTGAGGCCGTTAGAGGCAATAACTCTGGATTCAGGTCCTTCAGGTCTTTTGTCTCCTAGAAATAAATAGTTTTTAAAAATAAATAAAAGGGATATACATCTGATAGTTCATTAGATGATAAAAATGTCAGTCATTCCCTAAGCTTCATGACATAAAGAGGACTGGTAGAGAGAGAAGCCACCACCCACCCCACACAGTAATTATAGGATATAAAAGTCATTGTTATTGGACAAATCTGTGAAATGGTGAAGAGCAAGAGCTGAGATCTGGGGAGCAGGGGGTTCCAATCTTGTGCCATTTTGTATCCATTGAGTTTCTGACTCTTGGGGAACAGGCTTACAGAGGTGTGTCTCCCACTGGGGCTGCGTCTGCATCTCTGCTCGGCTCTTGCTCCTGAGGTGACTCTCTCCCTCACAGTAGGTGACACAGCAGCGACAGGCTGCAGAGGGCTTCCCTCGGTGCTTGGACAAGGTGCCAGGGTCAGGAGGGGCACCTGGAGCCCTCTCTGAGCTCTGGAGCTCCTGGGGCTCTTTCAAACGACTTCTTCTCCTCTGAACATGATCCAGACTGATGTCCGACTGAGAAGAGCAGCTCTCATTCCAGCCTGAACTGGCACTCAGACTTCTCAGGGGAAGAGCCAACCTCAAGGCCTTCCAGAATTTGGAGCCAGAATGTTTGGACTTTTCTCCTTTCCAGCTTACAAAGGACACTGATTCCTTCAGCTGCAGGATGCCTGGGTGTGGATGCTCAAGGGGACGGTACTCCACCACAATGAGCTTGGTGGCAATAGAGTTCTGGCACATGACACCCAGTTTAAACTCCAACATGCTGATGCTCTTTTCTGTCACGTAGTCTGGGCTCAGGACAACAATCATCCTTCGGCTCCTCTGAATGAAATCAAAAACTGCTTCCACTGTATCTACAGGAAAATGAAAAGATGGCACGGTGTCCATGAAAACTTCTATACATCCCAGTACATTATTGTGCATCTGACAAAGGACAGGCAACGGACAAACATTTTGAAAATATAGGATCTCAGTGCTAAATAATCCACCTAGTCAGGAAATTAAGGAATGTCATCTGTAACTTTATTATTAATAGTTTCAAAGGATTTGCTACCTTCAAGGATGAGGAAGGATTTGAATTCAATATGTCCCCATTGCAAAACCCCTACTTGTAGTAGTCCCTTCTTGAATAGTCTTTCTTTACTATTAGAAAAGAAAAGCCAGAAAATGGTTCAGGAATTAAGTGAACCATCTCTAAAATCCAGTTAATTCGGGGCTGTGTAGATTATTGCTTCTTTTGAAATCTTCATAACTGCAAGTTTTATCTGATGGTCTTAGATCTGACATCTTCAAATGTTTGAAATATTTGACAACTTTTGTGATGTTACTGTATTTTCTTCTTACCTGTAGATTAAATAAATTCAGGATTTTTCCTTTTTTCCCATAAATGACATAATTTCCAGTCTCTTTCTCACTCTCATCATTTTCCTCTGAATAATATTCAGTTCTATATGTATCTTCTAAGAATAGCACTTTGAATAGCAAAGGAAATGTTCTTGACATAATCTGATTGGTAAAGACCAATTGGAATTACCACTTCCTAAGATCTTCAGTTATATCCCTTGGTACTTAACATTTTTGGACCCAGTACTGATTTTATTATCAACTAAGATTTATTTCTTTCCTTCCTTCTCTTCTTTATGTGTAAGTGTGTATGTTTGTGTATGTGTATGTGTGTGTTGTAAAAATTGACCTTATAATCAAGAAGAAGCAAAAATAATGATAATAGACAAAAATCAATAAATTAGTTAATAGTTATGGCAAAGCATTCATTTCTAACAGTTGCTAAGGTGGATTTGGACAGATCCCAAAGGAAACTTCTTCAAATAAATGCAGTTCTTAACTAACTGTGAGATTTGGGAACTTATACAATTCGATTATCTTAAGTAAAGGAACTTCAAATGTGTGAATCATAGCCACAGACAACTCTGAAATCACGTGCCAAAGACAGACTGAGGTTGTGCCCACACTTTTTGAGAGACTTTTCAGTTTGTCATGACCAACTGTAAATTCGCAGTAAATTTGATCTTAATGAACTTGACAGGGAATGAAGAGATAGGATCCAAAGTAGATTAATCCTTTCCAATCAGTGCATTTAACATGAATTTGAATGAAAACCCAATGTGCTCAATTTTTGACATTTAACTGTTTTTATCGAGAATAAAAAAAAAAGCTATTTTGGAAATTTTTGGTATTGAAAGACAAATTTAAATGTCCATTTCTCTTCAGAATCTGTGTGTGTGTGTGTGTGTGTGTGTGTGTGTGTTGGTAACTCCTTTGTTCCTGCTTGTTGTTCCTACTCAGGATCTCTTGACGCTGCATCTAATAAATTAGAGAATATCAGAGTGGGAAGTTACTGCTTTTTCTGGTTCATGAGAAATGCAAAATAACCTTAAGACAACATGGCTTGTGTAGAGGATTTGGGCAAACTCCACAAATTGTGTGTGTACTTATGTATGTGTTTGTGTGTATGGTATACTTTATTTCAAAATATTACCTTAAGAAAATATGAGTTTGTTTTTTTCCAGTGGAGATACCACAGTTGAAAGTAAAACTGTCTTAGATCTTCTAAAAAATTGTCTTCAGGGCTTATGTTTTCTTTCTTTCTTTTCTTTTTTTTTAAATATATTCCCCTTCCAGAAAGTGAGGGATTTACATTTGAAAAAGGACAATGCTAAATAAAGATATGAGTGGCAGAATTCCAGACATTGAGGACTGAGAGTGGAGATGCTTCTCCGAGGGGGCTTGGCCTATACATAGAATTCTCTTCACTTGGTACTTTAAAGAAAGCTGCCTCCTGCACTGCATATTTTTAAAATACCTTCCATATTATGAAACCTTCATATTTAAGATGGATGCTATTATCATTTTTAATGGTAAATATTATTTGAAGAGGGATTACTAAATTAGATTGTTTATTCTGTTTGACTCAAAAAAAAGTGAGGTGTGACTATACAGGTGTGACATCAGTTTTCTTTTATGGCACTGTATTGGAGTTGAAGACATAGTTCTGGTCCAGAATTCTACCACACTCAAGGATTCACCCGCCTTTTAAAGTCATATTCCCTCTGGAATTTACATAGAAGAAAACTATGACTTCAGTTTGTTCTACGGTTAGGATAAAAGTGGACAAGTATGCTTCTCTTCCTCCTTTTCCCTCTCTCCCCCTCCTCCTCCCTCCAATAAAACTTGAAGTACAGTAGCAAAAAGGTGCACCTAATCTGGAAGATGGATCTGAATCCAAATCTTGGTTTTCCAGTGTCTGTTTTTAGTCTGAACATTTTTGAATCTAAGGTCATCCTTCTATGAAATGCATAAGATAGGGGAAAACTTGTAGAAACGTAAAACAAATGAAGTATCTATATGCAAATGTCTAGCATGCAGTAGTCATGTGAACAGCTCATATGATTAAATTATTATTCAATGTCTAGTTCTTATTAAAATAATATATGGACCAATTTTGTTGAATTTTTATCAATTCCTGATACTAACTTTAGAATATCACTTTGATACATGGATTGAAATAGGGTTTGAAATTCTGGGTATTTAGTTTAAAATGAATGTAGATCAAAAGTATTGTTGAAATAATCTCCTAGCTCATTGCTAAAGTTACTTTATGTCACATGGGTAGAAACAGAGAAATAAGACCGGCTAGTTGCTAAATGTGTATCTCATATCACATTGAAAATTTACTTGTGTGAAAAATCTAGTGGCACCAGTGAGTGACTGAAGAAAGTATCTTCAGGCTTTTAACCAGGTAATAGCTCAGTAAATGAGGCTACCAAAATGCTGATACGGAATCTTCTAAAGAGTCACCACTATGTTCTAGGAGATCATTTAATATTTTGGGGTTGAAAGCAACTTAAAACTTATCCCCACTTATCCAATATAGAAATTTCACATACAAACTCTAATATGAATCAATCAAGTCTCTGCTTATGTATATCTTATAAGGAGACACCTAGCATGTCCAAAATTAGGGAATTTCATTATTGTTCAACTCTGACACAGTTGTTTCCAATTGATTTGAAATCTATTTCCTTGTAACTTTGATCCATTGATTTGAACTTTACCCTTTGGGGAGTGGTTTGCAAGAGGAAAATACTTCAGCAAATTTTTTTTTTTTACAAAGTTAACTAGTACAGAGGATGTTATAGGGCTCAATAAGTGCTATTGGAATAAATGATGAAATGGGGAATTTTTTTTCTTTTTAGCATGAAGACAGTCTTGTACCTAAGGGCTTAATATTATTAACACAAAAGAAAATGCGTTTCCAAATATTTTTCACTTATTTACTTGAAGTTTGTGAGAAAAATGTATCTTTGGTTCAAATTATCATCTATTAATGCACAGCATTAATTTCTTCTGCCAAAGCTGCTGCCTTGGAGTTGCTTTAAAGTTTAAAAGGTAAGAAATTCCTGTAAGCTTTAAAGTTCTAAGCTGAACCGAAAGGAATGTTTGTGGTTTTTTTGAAAAGAATAATTCTCTTCTCTCTCCCCCTCCATGCTCTGTATCCCTCTGTCACTGTATACACATGCACACATATACAGACACATTCCCATGTTTGGTATATCACATTGTTGATATGAAGTTCCCACTATCTTCAGATATCTCTCAGAAAGAAAGTTAAATATAATTTCATTTCTTTTTATAGTGCAATAATTGATCATTTTAATTCTTATTCCTTATGCTTAACATGAAAATAAAGACATAAAACACATGCACAAAATAAAATTCAAAGCTGAAAATAAATGGTTTATTTTAAAAATATGTAAATTTACAAATCAAATGAAAAATGGAAAATACAAAATTTCATGAATAAAATTAAAAAGATAATCTTAAAATATTAAAACCTATAGAAAGAAAATGGGTAATTAACAAGTGGAGTGATGTTTTTGTTCCCAGTACAATGAAATGCTTTTTTTATTAGAATCCTAAGAATCATTTAAGCTGCAATACAAAAGAGAATTCAATAAATTGTATGGGATTGTGTAATTAGACACTCTACATAGCATGGTTCTTTGTTAACCTGGGTGCAGAAGGTACTGATGTCATAGATCTAAAACTTTATAAGAGAAATTATTTGTTCTTGCTCTCTAAATTATGAGTATGTGTCCCTATATCCTTCAAAGGGGAATCTTCTAGAATAGAAAACATGTTTAAAGTAAGTTCTATTAGGATGAGACAAATTAGATTTGATTTGCTTTATATTATAGCATTTGGAAAAACTCAATATGAAAGATAGGAATATAAATAGAAAAACACACCATGGAGTTTCCAGGGGCCCCAATGGTATTAAGGATAAATATGAAGCCCCAAAGTGCAAAAAAAAAAAAAAAAAAATGCAGCATCGCAAGAAAATGGCCCCTTGGGAATGAGACCACCCCTTGTTGACCTAAAGCTCCTAAAATGATTGATATTAAGTGCTACTCCAGAGTCAACTCTCCTCTGGTCTTGTAAATAAAGAGTTAGTAGAGGGAATAATTATGATTTATCATAAGAAAAAGCTTTAAGAGTGACTCCATATCATAGCTTTATAGTCAAGAATCCAAAAGGGAATAATTTTTTCAATTTAAAGTAATCAATAATTTCTATGTAGAAAAATTATGTATTATGGACTTTAACACTGATAAAGGATGCTTACATGTAGAAGACAGTTTTAGAATTGCATAATAAAATTCATACTACTAGGACAAGGGCCTCCTTAAATTATGAATTATCGTGTTTCATAGTATCCTCCAAACTCATTTATAGGTATATTTATTTTCTTTTATTACTTAAAAGTCTACATAGTTGAGCACTAGGATTAGCATGGCTTAATTTCTTAATATGTCTTCTAGGAATACAGTAGAAAATCAATTAATACCAGATAACTGGCTACCGTTTAGCAGTGACTAAAGAAGTTCTGTGTACAACAGAGTCCACTGCAAGCCAGATCAGCTGTAGCCATAATAAGTTATTTATATGAGTGTAGGGAAGGCAAGAACTAATGACAAGTACCACGCTGTGAGCAGCAAATTCACAAATAATATTAATGAACTGACAACACCAACACAAAAGCATTACAGTATGAACATAATTTAAAAACTGGACAAGAGTTATAGTGGTTTGTAATATCTTACTAATGGCTGTTTAAAGATGAGCACATGCATATGTGTCTGTGTATATGTATACACACATAGATAATGCATGCGCATGTGGATTCATACATATACACACATACACAATTTGTGTGTGAATATATGTACACACGAGCATATAAAATTAAGGTGTGTGGATATTTATATATATGTATACTTATATGTGTGTGTATATATATATACACATATATACATTTTCTACACGTAACATAGATATCTACTTTGTAAACTCTGCACTTAGTTTTACTTTTCCAAGTCTGAAGAACATTAAAATTTTACTTAAAACCAACCAGAAAAGTTTCATTGACAATGACCTTTCAGATGGACTTATTTGGATCAAGGTATTACCTGTGCTAGTGAATAAATTACAGGAAGTACAATTAATTCTTTTAGGATATTAATGCTAAAAGCAACTGTCAAGGTTACTAAACCTAATCTCCACACATTACAATGAGGAGACACAAAAAAGTGAGGAGAAATCATTTTCCTAGTTTTCACATTAGCAAGGTTGGATTAAAAGGCAAATTGCTAAACATCCTGTTCTGCACTCTTTTCACAAGTTAGAAATGCCCTAAAAGCATTTTGCTCTCCATTAGCACCATTAGAAGTTGCCTTTCAGACTGAACCAAGTATAGAGCCACCTGAAAATCTGTTTTTTTTCTTTTTAACCTACAAATTCTGAGTGATTGATACAAATAGAGAGGGAGATGGAGTAATAAATATGAATCAATCCAAAGATAATCAAGGATTTACAGTAATTAAAAATTATGATATATTTTTCAAGTTTATAAATGTAACATCAATTACCTGAGATGAGGGCAAATGTGATATAGTAAGAGGAAATGCAACATGCCCTTTAAATCAATCATCAGAGACATTTTTAGTTATATTGCTTTGTAACCTCCTAAGTGGGTGTCGGTCTTGCTGTGGTGGTGTATTGAACAGCCAAATGAGCAAAAGAGCTTGTTTATCCTCAGAAAAAATAGATGTAGACCCTGATTATCTTTTTAATGGATGAGTAAAAATAAAATAAAAAAATACTCTACTCAGAAAATTATAATACCCGTCAACAAGTAACGTTTCGTAAAGGGATTTTTAAATCCACAGACACAGCTGCTCTATAAGGTTAAGATTTGAGGTGGGGGGGCAGGGATGGAGGATGTAAAAGAGGAGATTCACTTCAACCCAGTCTTTACCTGCAAAGAACACAGGAATATCAGAGATTGGGAACAGACTGTTGACACTATCATTCTAAACCTTAGTCATGCCTGAGAAGCAAAACAGCCATCCAGATAGTCACTCTGAATTTATCCCTATGAGGAGGCTGAGAATTTTTTTCTGCTTATCAAACCATAAACTGGGAAGAAAAAGGGGGGGGCTCTTCCTCCCAGGAGTACCCTTGGTTCTCGTTCCTCTTTACATTTTCCCTTTCATACATTTTTCAGGGATGAATAGGAGAGCCCCTGCTTGTCACTGCTAGACCTCCTGGAACTCTTCTTCACTGGCATAGCCACCTGCAGCTGCTTCCAGAACCTGCCCTGTGGATACTTGGATTTCTCCCCTTTCCATTTAATGACCGTGAGCACCGTCTTAGCCCTCTTCAGCTCTTTCACCTTCGTCTCCTTCACAGCTTTGTACTGCACTAAAATGACGTTGATGTTGCCCCGAGAGGCCATATTTTCTAGGCCAGCCTTGAGCTCCAGGAGGGCTTGGGTTCCCTGGAGCACGTAGTTGGGACTTAGGACAACCAGGAGGCGTCTGCTTTTCTGAATGAAGCTCAAGGTCTCATCTGTGACAACTGGGAAAGAAAACACCATGGGGATTAGTGTTGGCCCAGAACTATCCAAAAGCATGGGGCTTGAGGGAACTCAGGGTGACGGCCTGAAGAACCCCGGTGAAACCTTACCAGCAGCACGTGGTTATCCTTAGACCCAATCATGTTCTTCACTAAGTGCCATTCTCCTCAGGGAAAATGGAAATGGCATCCACATATTCCACTCAAAAAGAAGATTCCAAACAAGTATGAAGCCAAAACATGGCTGTGACCTCAGTCTTCCAAAGCATGACTGGAGCCACAGTGAACAGATGCGTGACACAGGAATCAGTTTCTACAAACAGCATGGTATGTTGTAACCCAGTCAGACCTATTCCTAAGCCCTATACAAAGACACCTTTGTATAATCTCCCTAATATAAAAAAAAAATTCAAAAGATATATGTTGTAGAGTCCAAATCATAGAATTTCACTTTTTGCTAACACAGGAAAGGGTAGGAATGTTCACTTTTGAAAGTCCCCTCCACTGTTGAACACCTCCTTGACTCTGACTGATATCAATGTGGTTGGATGAGGACCTTCAAAAATATAGCCAATCCAATGGGACCTTGTCTAGAAATGCATTCTCAACTTGGCTTTCTACCTCTCTCTGCTTTGGAGACCAAATTAATCCCTGATCTTTCTCCTCAAAATACTATCATTACTAGGGAGCCATGTGTTTCTGCAGCTGCTGGTGATGTGTCTACTTTCACTCATTGGCAAACACTTTTTTTAAAGTAAAATAAAAAAGAAGAAGAAGAAAAAGCAGGGGAAATGGAAGGGCAGTATAATTTTATTCTGCAGTAAGGGGCTCTGATTAATTCCTCTCAGTAAATTCTTGAAACTAATCTATCACCTCACAGATGCTTAGGGAGGGCTATATAATCCTTTACAAGGGCAGGGTTAGTTGCCAACTCCAGGTGATGCACTGATGTTATGGAAATGTACATCATGGCTCACCAGGCTCCCCTATGCAGTCTTTTCAATGCTTAATCTTTGTGAGTTCAGAAATAATAGGTAAAGATAGGCAATTAGAATCTAGCATGTGCAACCTGGAGGAGCATTTAGGAATAAATATCTGTTTGCTCCAAGAAGCTCAACTAGAGGCTGACCACATGTAAGCATAGAAAGAGACCCAGAGGCAAAGTGAGTTGGGCAAGAGCAGCAGGGGGGATACAAAATGACACAAGAATCTATCAGAAGAAAGATGCAAGAGTAATAAGAGAAAGCTTGAATTCTCCCAAGAACTATCAACCCCTATTGGAAGGTCTTACCCAGTTATATATGTATATTTTTCTTTAACTTTTCACACAGAAATTATTGATGGAATGGCTGATGAAAGGATAAATGGATGAGTGTGATATGGGGGAATTAAGTATTAAAATGAACAGAATTTATCCTTTAGCCATATGATTATTTTATCATTTCCTGACAAAGTTATACTGAAAGAGATATCTTCTGAAGGCAAATATGATAAGCTTTTGTATGATGATTAGGTAAATAAGATAGCAGATCTATTTAATTCAAAATGTGAAAAATATTTAAGCCTATCTTATGTCTCAATGATTTACATAACATCTTTCAAAAACATGTTAAACAAATGATTAATGTAAACAGGATCTTCTAAGAAGAAAATTAGTTTGTCATGCTTAAGATTAGAGACAGTGCAAGTGAATTTCAAAGGTAGGGAGTTTAGTTTATAAATGTTACTTTGTGTTTTTTACAAAGACACAGGTGAACCACTGCTTTGTGTTTTACAGTTTAGCCTTGAAAAGATACTTTTGCTTTAAGACATTCAGCAATCTCTGCTTTTCTTTTTTAAACCTGCTAGAATACCTTGTAAATTTTTAAAATAAATCTCAAACGTATAAGCTGATAAAACAGAAGCAGACCCAAGGAAAAAAAAGAATTTGAGTAGTACAAGTTTGCTAGAAAGCAAAAACAAAGAAAAGGAAATGGCCAAGTGCCAAAGGGAAATATTCTATTGTCAGTGAACAAAAGAAGGGAAAATTCTATCCACCCCAATCTGTAACTCAGTCTTAGTAAAACTAAGTAAACCTCAATCTTTATAAAAACAACATTTTAATTTTACTCAGTCTTTGTAAAAAAAACAAAAACAAAACATTCTTAGAAAACCAATGCAGATTTGTATAAACTTTCTAAAAATCTAAATATGAATTTAAAGGACTTTTAAAGCTATGGCACTTTGATATAGTTTAACTCCACTGTGGATCTATGTTTCTGAAATGGAGTTGTTAAAGATAACCAGGAAAAATATTTTTAATACCCTAAACGAGTTGAATAGTGTAAATCTTACATTATAGTATTATTTCTGGAGAAGTCTCTATTATATCAAGGAATTGGACATTAAATATCCAATATAGAACTATGACTCTCACACACAATCTAAAGCTAAGAATCCCTTTGCCTTTCAAGGGTAACATCATTTGTACTCCTGTGAAATACCTACTTCCCCCAGGCAGACTGTCTCGGTCAAAGATGCACAATTTGTATCCAAATTCATTCTCCAAAACTCCACGGAGGGTCAATAACACAAATTCCTCTTCTTCAGCATTCCTTGCGTAGGATACATAAATATCATACTCCTTCCCATCTAGCAAAAGGAACACAGATCCCATATCAGTTAGAAAAGTTTATCAAAAGTAAGACCTTTTTTCTTAAATCTAACTTCTGCATGTGGGACATTTTTATTTTTGCATGTATACATTATGTGATAGATGCTAATGTGATTTTCCATGTGGTACTTCCCAGGCAAAATAGCTACTTGAATTTAAATTTTTATTCAATGTGTCTTCTATTTACATCTTAGTTAGTTGAGTCTATGGTGGAGAAAGAGAAAGGTTTAGCCTATTCAACTGTAGATTAAAGCATAACATGGACATAAATTGTAGGTGCCAGAAGTTAATTAATGTAGAGAATTTCTACTCCTTTTCTTGATACATCATTCATTTATATATTAGAGTTATAAATTGAAACTTTTTGAAACTGTCCAAAATATACCTGAAACGAACTATAATTAAAAATATATTTAGATTCAAGGATTAATCTTTCCCAAAGTTCTATAATTATAAAAATAATGAGTCATTGAAATGCAAATTATGTGCCTCTTCCAAAAGCCTGTCAAATTAGAATCCTCATGGGGTGGACCTAAGTATCTGCATGTTTAAATGTTTCATTCTTATTCCTGGGCAAAGTTTTTGCAATGGAGCAGTGCTCCTTAAATTTTAATGTGTATACAAATCATTTGGGAGTGTTATTAAAATGTAGATTCTGATTCTATAAGGGTTAGGACTATGAGTCTCTAATAGGCTCTCAGGTGATTCTGATGCTGCTGGTGCATGGATCACCCTTGAGTACAGAGTGTGGACCTGGACAACCCAACACAGTAGCCAAGAATCACATTTCTACTGGTCACTTGAAATGCATCTGGTCTAAACTGAAATATGTTATGAGTGTAAAATATAACACATTCTGAATTTTGAAATTTTAGTGTAAAAAAATGCCAAATATCTCAAACATGTATCAATTACATGCTGAAATAATATGAACACATAGAGTCTAAGCATTATTTTTACTTGTTTCTTTTTACTTTTTCTAATTTGGCCACTAGAATATTTTTAATCTCCTATGTGGCCCGCTTTATACTTCCTATTTGGACATTACTGATCTCACACTAAATCACATATTGATCTAAGAAAGGAGAATACTACACATTGGAAAGACTTTTTAATAGTAAAGACTGAAATACACTGTAATGTGCTTAAATCGTCTAGTTAACCTAAGTTTTATCAAATGAATATGTTTTCTAAAGAGGACAATAGAAAAGGTTTACATCAAACTTTCATCACTTACCTAGAATGGTCTCATCTGTTCCAAAATGAGCCCGGTAGAAGAGGACCATCTCCAGCCAGTAGACGTGGTAAACAACAATGAGAATCACCACCAGCAGGACCGTGGCTCCAAAACCACATGCCAGCTCTACTGTGTATCTTGGAGCTACCACTGGAATAAATAACAAACCAGAAGGAATTTCTATGTGGTGATCACAGTGGCCCATCATGTTGCAAAGCTGGATAAGCCCAGCGGCTAAACCCTGCACCTGACTTACATGTTTGAATAAACAGAGATAACACTGTAGACTTTAGACTCTATTTCATAATACTAGATTGTCTCATATTCATTTTACTGTGTTTTGTTTGTAGCATAGAAGGTGCTTTTAGCTATCAGTTGATTTGAACTTTGATGATATACAACTAAAACAGAATATTAACATTGGGCAGGATTCAGAAAGCTATCTAATTAAACTCACAATCTGACTCATACATCACCTCAAAACATTTTTGAACAGTGTCTCTCTACCCTCTGATAGGTTATCTCTGGAATGGAGTCTTAAATAACCTACCTGGAGAAGCCCATGATATTGGTAGACTGTCATAGAGAAGGAATTTAGTTCCTTTTCCTTTATTTGCAAAGAGGCTTCAAAAATCTTATTTTCAGTTGGCAGAAACAGAGGGCTTTTATCCATGTCCACAGTTCTAGGATATACACTGTGAAGACTGACTTGCAATACGTGATTATGGACAGATTTCCACATAACCTACTTACTTTTATGTCATAGACACCATGCCTGCTTTTTTTTTTTTTTTTTTTAATAAGAAATAGAGTGAGATAATTCCCAATTAACGTAAAACTGGTTATAACTCATCAGCCCTGGAAACCAAGCCTTTTAGAACTGAATCACTGGTCACAGCAGACAACCTTCCTGTCTTGTTGACCACTGCCCTTTCCTCACAAAACTCAAGAAGACATCACATCATGCCTTGATCATGCAAGAATTTCTGGTTGGAACAGTGCTTTCCCTGTTTTAGTTTTCAAGGTCAATGTTCAAAATGCCATTTTTTTTGAAAGATAAAACCCTTTTTTTCAAGTTGAGCTCTGCCTGTAGAAATCTCCACTCTTCCCTATTTATAATTTTTTACAGTGTTTTTATTTATATAATGTGATTTATCTTATAGGCCTGCTTCTCCACTCCCTCTCACTTCCCCTAATCTGTACATTCCCAGTTTTCCAGGTGGGGACCATCTTTTCATCTATCCCATTTAGATATTTAAATAATTCTCACACTGTACTATGTATCAGAAACTTCCCTTTGGTTGCTTGTCGCAACTAGCTAAAGAGTCTGAGGAAGGAATGGAACATTTGCTAAATCTGAAGCAGGAAGGCTTAACTTAGGTAATTGTTGATTTGACGGTTACTTATTAACATGTACTGTTTGCCACAGCCTTTGGGGGACAGAATGGTGGATAAGAGAGGAAGATCTCTGTACTTTGGGAGATAATGTCCTAATGCAGAAAAGCAAAAAGGAAATAAAATAAAAGGAAATTAATCTGCGTTAATTTTGAGTACTGATCAATGCCAAAAAGAAAAAAAAAAAAAAAAGGTATGTGATAGAGTTGACCAGGGAATGAGGCTGGGGCAAGGGAGGTCTATTAGTCATTGTAGTGAGGGAACACTTCTGTGAGCCATGAGTTCAAAGCCAGCCCCAGCAAAAAGTGAGGCTGTCTCACCCTGTCTCCAAATAAAATACAAAAGAGGGCTGGGGATGTGGGTCCATGGTTGAGTGCCCCAAGATCACCATGGAGCAACTCTCAATTCAAAGTGCAGGGATCTTTGCCTAATATTGCCATGAGTTCAATTATTGGTCATATATAAGGGGGAGAGATTCCTTTCTAAACAGTTTTCTATGCAAAAAAGAAAAAAAATGGTAATCAGTGGAATTGAATCCAAACTTTTCTAATTAAAGGGCCAATTGTAGAGTTTCGAGTTCAGGATCCCAAACTCAGGTTGTTAATCCTGCTGCAGGTACAGCCTGGGACACAGCATATGAAATGATTATCAAGTACTCTAGTACTTGCTTCATGAATAGTGGCCTATTAAAAGAAGAAAATCCCACCATAAAATGCCAGAAGTGTTGTTACTGAGGATTTGCTAAGATTAATTCAGGTAGCTGGCACAAAAATTGTTGTGTCCTTGATATTTCCGACTACGTGTTATGTTAATAGCACACCAGGGTAGGTCCCACTGTTATTTGCATTATTTGCTGAGTTATTTTGGCTCTCTAAAATGTCCATCCAGGCAAAACGGGGGGAGGAGGAGGAAAGGTCACTAGCTACACTTACCTGAAATGGATTTTTCTAACCGTCAATTGAGGTCTTGCTTAATGACCAAAAGATCAATCACCCTCTTAAATTTCTATCGAATTCATTTTACTACTATCTATTTTTTTTTCTAATGAGCCTTTAAATTTTGTTTTGTGTCACACAATCACAAGTGTCATATTTATGGATAATTTTGTGTAGCCATCTTGCTAAAAAGGAGACCCTAATGCTACTTAACTAATTGAACTCTTAAAATATTCCCCATCAGCCTGATTTTCTAAATGGCTTGGGTCAGGTGCAAGGGATGCCCTACAAGGTTTTCATGTGGAGCTGTGCTGGTTTACTGGGAAAGGGTGACCCTCTGCTCACATGTTCTATCTGCCCCAGCTGTAACCTCTGGCATTTTGACATAATTATTTTACCCTTATGCACTCTCAGACCAAAGGGTTTCCAATCAGAAAGGGGTGATGAAATTTGGCCAAATTGGACTCCTGAACTGCTTCCCTCGTTGATTTCAATAATAATCTAACTCAGGATGTAGCCATTTGCTTCTTGTTATTCCTGAATTCAAATTTCTTCCATTCATTTTGCAATTCTACAGTAAAAAAAAAGTCTCCAAACTCCAAATTTCATCCTTATTGTAATTGGAAACTTGCTATCTATTGAGTCCTTCAAGCAAATGCCACCTACTCAGATTCCAAGGGACCACAGAATCTGTGGTCACACTTTGATAAATTTATGGAACTTCTTGATAATTTTTGGAACTGGTAATGACCATTTTTTTCCTCAATTGCAAACAGAGAATTCTCTATTTAAATAATGGTAAAGCAAAGACTTAAGATGGACTTGATTTGGCTATTGCAGTGTGTTAAAGTTTACGTATTTTGAACTTCAGCTTCTGTCCTTTGAGGAGTAACTGATAGTAGAATTGCCTTCCTTATACAAAACAAAAGGTTTTTCATAATTGGACAACTAATAGCACATGAGTGCAATCTATGGGGAAAAGGGTCAAAACAAGATTAAGCCTGGTCACGGGCTTAATCTTCTTTTAAGTTTTCTTCTTTTAATAGGCCACTATTCATGAAGCAAGTAGTAGAGTACCTGATAATCATTTCATATGCTGTGTCCCAGGCTGTACCTGCAGCAGGATTAACAACCTGAGTTTGGGATCCTGAACTCACAACTGGGTTGTGGCACAGATAGAGGAAAGCCAAAAGAGGGCAGAGGTTGCACTGAATTCAAACAAATGAGAGTTCAAGAGTAGTTGGCATGTATTTATAGGCCTGAGTACCACATAGAAGAGAACACTAGCAATGGAGTAGAGTAGAAAAGTAACTAGCAAATACATGGGGTTACCTTGAGTCTTTGGCCAAATCAAAGCGAAGCATATTTAGGGTGGTACTTTACATGGTCAGGCAAAAAGCAGCTAGAAACTGCACAAGACCTGGAGCTCTGTAGAGCTGGACAAGAGCTGAGTTTAGGCCACTTAGAGGTCAGAAACTTCATTTAGCTACAAAGATGCCACAGAAGGCTGAGCCTTAGAAGTAGGTCCCATGCAGCCCTACAGAAAAGGCTATTTATTTTTTGACTATTCTAATGCAGATATGGAAAGTGACTTAAGACAAATAAATACGCAAATGCCTATGCAAGCTAATTAACTACCTGCTAGAACAAAACTCAACATTCTAATAAAACCCAAAGGTTCAGTGATACAGCATCTAAAATGTCCACTACATGACAAAAAATAATAGGATAAAGAGAAAAATATGTGATCCATATTCAGAAAAAAAATCATCCAGTTTAAATAGAACCAAAATTGGCAAAGATACTGCAATTGCCAGTAAGTACATTGAAATGTATATTAAAATTTGTCTGCTGAATTAAAAGCAAGAGGTATCTTGACTATCATGATGCAAGAATAGGAAATATCAATATTACAATAGAGAAATGGAAATATGCATTTCTGAAATTAAAAATGCTACAACTTAGATGTCACAAAAGAAATTATTAGTAGTCACTAGAAACTATCCAAACTCAGATTTTAAAAGGAATGAAATTAAATGAGAAACTTGGTTACCTGAGGGGGAACTACTGAGTTATGTATCATAAATTTTACTGCAAGACTAAAGAAAGTGAAAATACTATGATTTATAGGAAAATATATTTGAAGAAACAAAGGCTGAAAATTTTTTGATTTAATAATAAATATAAACTTAGAGAACCAATAAGTTTAATAAACTAAGATACATATGAATAAATCCATACCTAAGCCTCTCATAGTTCAATTGTTCAAAACAAAGTGATGATGAGAAAAACCTCAAAATCTCCCAAAAGAAAAAGAAATGAGAGCAGGACATAGCAGTGCATGATTGCTATCCTGGCTATATGGGTCGCTGAGGCAGGAAGATCACAAGTTTGAGGCCAGTCTGGGAAACTTAATGAGACAATGTCTTAAAAATAGAAAGGGCTGTGAGTGTAGCTCAGTAGTATAGCACCTTGAGTTCAATCCACAGTACCACAATTAAATGAGACATATATAAAAAGAACAATAATAATTTTAAAAGCTGCCAATTCACATTATAAATATTTTTCTGCAGGAAAAAAATGAAGGGCATCTTTAAAGAGCTAAAATACAAAAAGAAAATCTTTCAACACAAAATTACATATCTAGTGAAAATACTAATAAAAGTACCAGAATCACTGGCTATTCATATGAAAAAAAATTAGACTTCAATTCCTACTTCATATCATTTATTTAAAAACTTATAATTAGAGGTAGATCATGGACCTACACAAAAGGTGAAACTTCATGGCTGAAGTGTGCAGAGCTCTCTTAAGACAGAT